TGCTCCGGTGTTTTGGGTCATTGTCCTGTTTCATCACCGAACCTCTACAGAGGTTCAGCTGATGTACAGACATTCTCACATTATCCTGAAAAATTTTTGATACACTCGGGAATTCATTTTCCCCTCAATGATTGCCAGCTGGCCAGGCCCTGATGCAGCAAAGCAGGCCCAAATCATGAGGTTTTCTCTACCATACTTTAATGTTGGGATGATGTTTTCATGATGATATGCAGTGCACTTTTTACACCAGATGTAGTGCTGCGTGTTCTTTCCATATACGGTAGTTCAGTCTTATTTTCATCAGTCTACAAAACATTTTGCCAATACCGCTGTGGAGTGTCAAAGTGCTCTTTCCCAAACTTCAGGCGTGCAGCAATGTTCTTTTTAGTAAGCAGCGGCTTCCTTCATGGTATCGTGCCATAGACACCCTACTTGTTCGGTGTTTTACGTACTGTAGACTCATGAACATAGATGTTATCCAGTTCCAATGATGCCTTCAAATCTTTGGCTGTCACTCGAGGTTGTTTCTTTACCGCAGCAATAAGTCTTTGTTGTGCTCTTGGGGTCATTTTGACTGTGCGCCCACTTCTTGGTAGATTAGCCACAGTCCCAAAGTGTCTCCATTTGTAGATCGTTTGCCTAACTGTAGACTGGTGAATTTTTAGTCTTCGAAATCACTTTATAACCCTTTCCAGCTTTATGTAAATCAACAATTCCGGATCGTAGATCTTCTGAAAGGTATTTTTGGTGAGGCATGGCTCACATAAGCATATTCTTCTTGTGTGGAGCAAACTCAAAAGGTTTGAATGGTTTTTATCAGTCAAAGTAGGTCTAGTCCACACCTCCAAACTCATTTTCTTAACAAGACTCCAGGTATGCTAACACCTGACTCCAATTAGCTTCTTTTGAGCTCATTAACTCAAGGGTTCACATACTTTTTCCACTAGCACTATGAGGTTTTTATGGTTGTTCTCAATAAAGAAATGAAAGTTCAGAATTTTTTTTGTGTTGTTATTTTAGGCACATTATATTTGGCAGTTGGTAGATGAAGATCAGGTCACATTTTATGACAAATTAATGCAGAAAACCATGAAATTTCAAAAGGTTCACATACTTTTTCTTGCCACTGTATATAGAGCTGTGTTGCAGAAAACCAGGGCCCTGGTAGTGTTATGCGGTTCTTCTCTGGGTCCAGTGAAGCTGCCAGGTATAGTCTGCTGTATGCACTGCACTGGGAACAATGCACAGAGGGTGGTAGGCAATGGTTGTTGTCCAGTTCCTCCATCACAACCACTCTGTTTGCTCAGTAACATACCAGCATGAGTCTTACTGAATTTTGGCTCATCTGTATGATGTTCCTCTACCCAGTGCATTGTGTCTTGAAAGTGAAATTTCACTGATTACATTTAATTATCTTATAGCCTTCACTCTGACTCTTTCTTATATAACATGAGTGTGTGTACTGACCAAGACAAGCACACTAATGATGCTGATTGTGATACCAGCGGCAGACAAGGGGATAACAGTGGCTATTGTAATGTGGCTGGCAGGGCTGCAGGTGCTGATGGGTGCTGGCTGTAGCCTGCTACTCTGAGAAGACCACGCCATCTGCTATGTAAACCCTGCAGCACATGTTCGACAGCCCAGCGAAACATCTCAGGGAGTATTTATTTTAACAGGCCAAATGATACTTCTGTTTTTCTCAAGAGGAATTTTAAGGTTAAATGATTCCCTTTAGAAAGAAAAACATGGATTGGAATGGGGCGGTTGAAGATGGGGGCATGGGGGAGGGGGCACACGAAGGTTTCGAGTGAACTTGATGCATTCTGTAATTTCAATTCAGATGGAGAAAAACAGAGCTGAACACAATGAAGATGGGTACTAATGTGGGAGCTTCAATAGAGAGACAAGTTTTGTTTATTTCCTCTGTTTTAATTATGCTCCAGTGGACGGTTACTGACACAGTAACTAAAGACAAGGCTACTGACTTCACACAGACCTGGGTTCATATTCAGCCTCAGTGGGCCCCGTTTAAGACATTCACTGTTTTACTCTGGGCCCTACACAGAGAATTGACTGTTTTATAACAAAACAAGCTAGTAAGTCTGTTGGCATATAAAATGACTATTAATTATTGTGGGCACAAAGAACAGGGGGCAGCATTGGTGTTAAAAGAAAAAAAGGATCAAAGTTGTTACAGTTTTAAGAAGGTGCCTGCCAGCTGTGGTGTAGCTTCAGCAGCTCCATGCATAAACTCCACGGTTTTGTCCTTAATACACAGGCAAAAATCAAACTTAAGGACTTGGGAAGGACTTTATGCACAGACTAAGTAATGAATTTCAAACCAGTACAGCAGCCAGGCTCCTCAAGACAAGGCTCATAATGAATATGCATTAAGGCACATCTCAGCATAATGAGCCGTTAACACGTATTTCTATGCAGACCAGGGTAACAGCAGTAACAGTATGATAATTCTTAAAACTCAGACACTATGCGTCTTTCTCACTCTATGACCCCACATGTGTGCACACCGTTCAATAATTCATAACACGGTGGTTATTAGCACACCAGCCTCAGCCAGCACCAAGCTTCCTCTGAACACAAACCCCATTGTCAGGAGGACAATAAAACCATGAAGGTGGGGAAAATGAACTACATAAATACATATGAAAATGTAGTGCAGGACTGGCAGAGGGTCTGCGGTCTCGTTGTGAGTGATTTGTATTAAAAAGTCATTCTGTGGGAGAGGACAGGGCCCGGCTGTGGACTGTTTGTGCATGGCTTCGGTTTCTGCTTTGTAATAAAAGCACCGGGACCTATGTGTGTGTGTGTGCGTGTGTGTGTGCGGTGTGTGGGAGTACAGGGGAGACGAAGTAGGCAGCCAAGTCTGGTGTCCTACACACAGTCAATCACTACACCTGGCTCGGCGAGAGGCTGTCTGGAGGTAGCTTCATCCACTACAGGGCAGTGTCTGATCCTTTCTGCAGCTCTTACAGAAGCTCCCCTGGACTGATAGACAAAACATGCTGCTTACACACACAGTATTGTTTCTTTTCTTGCCTTTATCTGTTCCTGTTTCCACTGAAGCCTTGCTGTTTGACTTCTTCTTCCAGACTGTGGTGGATCCAGACAGCAGGGAATGGAGCAACCCAACAAAGCAGCCCTCCTACTACTTTCCTCCCTACAGGTAGCTGACCTTGAACCTCTACTGTACTAGCAGGAAGACGTCAGAGACAAAGACAGCCCCCTTGGTGAGACCCTGAAATACAGCTCGGGTGGGAGACGGAAAGAAGTGTGTGAGGAGAAACAGAAGGAAACACAGGGATAACGCTGATATTGTGACATCTCGGACATCCAGTGAGGATCACGAGCATCACGGTAGCCTGATCATGAAACCTTCAATCGCTGTGGGCTCCTCCTCTGGCCTGCTGCTGGTCCTGATGTGCTTCCCTCTGCTGGGCTTGGTCCAGTCAACCAACAGCAACATAGCGAGTGATAATGGACACCCACACCTGGGAGAGTCTGACCCACAGCGCTGCATGAGGCACCACTTTGTGGAGACCATCACACACCCGATTTATAAGTGCAACTCCAAGGTAAGGCAGAAAAAGAACCAAGCATGCATTGTAAGCCGCTCTGCTTCTCTGTGGTCTCCCACTCAGTTTTTTAAGGTAACATGAGCAGCCCATCCAACAGATGAACTAATTTGGTACAGATATCAGAGAAACAGTTTGTTCCTCCCACTGTCGTTTATCACAGTTTTCTCTTTCTACTAGTATTGCTCTTGTTGCCCCTCAACACCCAGTGTCACTTTCCTTCTTCCACTTTATCTCCATCTTACGGTTATTTAGATGAGTCACGCTTTGTTTTTTAGGGAGTGTGCATGTGTGCGCGTGGTGCTGGACATGGGCCGCGCTGCAGAGACGTTGTGCCTGCTCTCTCCTGTCTCTGCCAGGGGCTGACAGGAGAGAAATCATAACCGAATGATGTGGAGGCATGGTGCACATTTCTTTGTCTGAAGTGTCACACAACTTTATGTATAGACTGGTGATCCACTGAATCACTGCAAACATGTGAATGTTATTGTGGAAGGGGGCTGTCAATTGTCTCACTTCCCTTGAGTTGTGCACCAGCGCTGCTGTTCTTGTAGTGTGGGTTTTTGGGAGATTCTGACTCTTAGTGCATAGAGCAGGTGACCAAACCACAGCTCAGCTCCGGCGACGCAGGAGCATGAGCTGGGCAGATTACAGGAAACCTGCCTGAGCAACTGTGTTACACCTCAGTCTGTAAAGGTTCTTGCTGAACACCCCCTGCACCCTGACTCGCTCACTGTCTACGTCTGCATGTGGGCAGCACAGATTTTGAGAACATTGTGAAAAGAAAACATAAATGAATGGACATTTCCATTCACTGTCATGTAAATATTAGGAGTTGGCTCATTGACATAAACAGCTAGTGGCATGAATTTTCCAGTCAGGTGCAATTAAACCATTGCAGAAGAAGATGAGTCAGTCACAGCTCAAACACTCTCATGTTTATTTCATGAATAAATCTGAGGCAGGTGAGTGTTCTCAACATGCCACACAGATCTGTTTTGGTCTGTTTAGTGGACGTTTTAATCACATGCTTTATATATGTCATGATTTATTCTCTGTTTCCACTGCCCCTTGACGCATTTAGTTTGTACAGATACAAACCATTTGTCACATTTATCATTCCACTATGTCCAGCCTTTCTTATGTACAAATTGAATATGACATGAAAACACAAGTGTTTCTGTGGATCTAAAAGGTCAAACTCAAGGTCAAACAGGAGATGAGACTTAAAGTTTTTAATATTCAGGCTGCATTACAATCTGAAGAGGTGGGAGCCTTTAAGAGGTGAGGGGGTTGTGGGAGTGGAATTATGGGAAGTGTAGGACTGAGAACTTGACCCAAACTGGGGCCTAGGTCAGGGTATTTGATTCTTCAGCTTTGAACAGTCTAAATACCCATGCACCTTTTTGGAAGTACAGCACTAAATTACTGGAGTTTTCTATAGGATAATGACAGGTTTATGTCACAGCAGTTCTAAATATTATGAAACACTGATTAGTTACAAATGTGTTAAGGTCTTTGCACCAACAAAGTTAAAATAGCAGTTAAGGTGGGAGCCGCATTATTAGCTAATTATCTGGCACTGTCATGTATCTGGTTTAATTAGTTTTGTTTATATTGTCCTTGTGTGCAACATATTTCTAAATAAATTTAAACTAAGACATATTAGCAAAAAAACAAAACAAAATCTCTCCTCAGCCATTAGTTGCAGGAGAAACAAGCTTTTAAGTTCAGTGACTGGATGTTGTTTACCACAGTCTGTAGGGATAATAAGGTCTTCTTCGGAGGTTTCTTCCGTTAAAGGGAGTTTTTCCTCCCCACTGTCACCAAGTGCTTGCTCAAGGGGGATTTGTTGGGTTTTCCCTCTGTAATAATAATGATAACAGTAAGGTCTAGACCTTACTTTGTAATGTGTCCTGAGATGACTTTGTTGTGATTTGGTGCTATACAAATACAATTAGATTTGATTTGATTCGTGTGGCCCCTTTTTAAGTTTCTGTGGATTTATATATATATATACATTCAACAGGACAGTTTTGTGCCCCGCAGGCCTTGGTGGTGCTCCACATGCCACTCACTTAACATTTTCTACACAGAAACTGAACACGTTTCCCAGTAAACCTGTTTACCTGACACATTATATTCTACTGTGCTATAATGTTCCACTGCATCCCCAGCTTTCTCCACCACATCCTACTTTGCATGACTCCACTAGCCTTGTAAATACATGTATATGAAAATGTGGATGACCATCCACGGTGTCAGCTGTTTCTTATTGAACTGCTCATGAATGAATGGAGGAGCAGGAAAGGTGCCGACAGAGAGGAGAAGGGTGTCACAGAAGAGGAATTGTCGCTGGTTGACAGCTTGATCCTCAGCTATGACAAAGACAAATGGTCTTAAAGTGGCGACAACACTCCTGATGTGTGTGCGTGTGTGTGTGTGTGTGTGGCCCCAGACAGGCTTTTGTTAAAGTGGGTACAAGGGTGGCGACACACAGCAGCTGACCGAAGGACATGACACAGGAGTCTGTTTAGGGAGGCGGCAGGAATGTGGTGACCCACAGAGGAATGCCAGTTGGATGGTCACAACACTAATAAGGCCAGTGCTCTGTATGTGCATCTACAGTATGTGTGTCACTAGTCAGACTTGGACAAAGTCTGATACCATTGTTTTGTTTGCTACGCTGTGACTCTGGATGGAAACTGCAACCTTCAGATATAAACCCCGTGTGCCCCTGGGCTCTGCAGCAGGTGAAGGAATGTTTGACTAACCTTGTTGCTATCTCTAGTTCTGCAGGTGCAAGGCTGAGTCTGGGAGACTTAGAAGACATTCTGAGCCCAAACAGACAAACACCGCCTCATTGTACCCAGAGAACCTTGTTCTCATCCCTGACAGAGGCTGAAGGTCACAAAAAACCAGTGTGAATGACTTATCTGTGCTTTCTTAACTGTGCTGTTTGTGCATGCTGTGTTCCAGATGGTGTTGCTGGCGCGCTGCGAGGGCCACTGCAGCCACACGACCCGCTCTGACCCCCTCATCTCCTTCAGCTCTGTGCTCAAACAGCCCTTCAAAAGCACCTGCTCGTGCTGCCGACCGCACACCTCCAAGCTGAAGGCGGTGAGGCTGCGCTGTGCTGGCGGGACTCGCATCACAGCCACTTACAGATACATCCTAGCCTGCAACTGTGAGGAGTGCAGCTGAGCAGGGAGGAGCACCCTCCCAAACCTTCAGAACACTCAAGAACCGGCATTTTTCTTGGCCTCAGGCCCTAATTTAAAGCTGTCCAAAGCATTTTGGTTGATGATTGGATCCGAAAATTGGCCCAAAGGACACTCGAGATGCTTCTTGTTATCTTTGGAGTGCTAGTTTGGAGCAATCATACCACCTTCACATAGGCCTTAAAACTGACCTGTGGCCCTTGGGACTGGACTGAATATACTATACCCTCTCTATTATGTGCATTCATCCAGTACAAATCATACCAAGTATATTATTCCAGCACACAAGACCAAACAGCTGCTCCCATGGGACAGTTGGAGACCCTCCTGAGTGTGAAAACACACTGCACTCATTACAGGCCTCCTAATTCATAACACACACGCTCACAAACCACAGAATGAGAGCTCATTACAAATATTTGTAACAGGCCAGCTCTATAAAAACTGCATCTGAACAAAACAACACGCCTCGTTAAAAAGCAGCTTGGGAAAGGACGAGGCTTGATGAGTGGACCCATATGTGTGCAGACATGGTGGATTTATAGAGGAGCGCCCGTGCTGTGCTTGTTTGCTCAACATTTTACACACTCCCTGCAGACTGGCCAATGACAACAGCTCCTTGGATGAATAATAAAACGGTAAAGGCAGACAGCGTAAAAGAAGCTCTGAGGATGAATGAAGAGCGAGTAGAGAGGGCCGTCCAGCCTCTGGGTGATGGTGTGTCGGTGGCCTGTCAAGACCGTCAGTGTTCATTTTAAATGTAATCTCTTCTGTTTGAATCTCTGTGATGTTCCTGTCATCATTATTGAAACTGTAGCTACTATCACGCCACATTTACTGTATGAAACAGCTGCTTCCGCATGTCATGACATGTCCAAAGTTTTGACTCAGAGGAAACACTCTTATCAAAACATTGGTTGCTCTGCATATGTCCGTAAAGCCTGCATACATATCCTCATCGTCCATTATGATGAGAGCGTCGCTGTCATGTAATTCATCCTCTGTGGCCCGGGGTCAAACGTCGCTGCCCTTCACTGCTGGTGGTCAGTTTATCTGGGTTTCCAAGTGGGATTTCTTCTGTCAAAGTACTCCACTTTTCTCACACCACTAACATTTCAGCACATACGAACTCAAACAAGCTATGGGGGTTTTATGGACGTCAAGAATGCCCATAATAACTTCAACTGTATAAGCAACTGAATACCTTATCTTTTTCTTTAACAGGTACTAAATGTGTCATCTTGAACCCATTGAATTTATAACATTGACGTACGGTATTTCACTTCCATCTGAAATCCATCTGTTTCACTTGATGTGGTTTGAATTTGAAATTTCAAGTTGTGTATAAACTGTATAAACCTTTTCAGAGTAAAATATTTCAGTGCAATCAGTAATATCAGCAGCAACGGTATGAAATGATCAGTAATTGGATACTATATATAGACAAAGGCACAGAAGGTGAATACAGTGACCAGCCATAAAAGTATCAGAAATGTGGATTGATTTCATGAATTCGTGTTTAGAATTTCAGTAGAGGTTAAAAGTCACAGTGTTAGTTTCACTGCCTCCAGAGATAGATTTAAGATAAAATAATAATATAATGCCATCAGAAAATGGAGATATGAACCCATCAAGTCTCTCTGAGGGCAAAAACTAGATCAGCAGCTCATCTTGTAACATTTACTGAAATCCAGCCTCTGGTACAATGAAGGTGAACATAATTTAAAAATAATAAAAACTGAGAAACAGACAATAAAACTGGAGCTTTGCAGGGTGGCTGAGTGTTTTGTTAGCAGCCATGCCAGTGATGGAGGAGGCATTCAAGGGCAAGACTCACATCAGCTCTGGGCATAGGCGGGCTGTGAGATAACTGACCTGTGGGCAGAGGCATGTAAGGGGCCCCCACTCCTCCTACAAAGGAGCAAAATGTGCACACTGAAAAAGACACAAAACGCCTGCAAGCAGTGCAGCAGCAGCTGAATTTTCTCTCTCTCTCTGTAGTTGTTTCGAGTCCATTCGTAGCTGTTTTGTGTCGGTCTGTAGTCCTTTTGTGTTTCTTTGTTGAGATTTTATTTTGTTTGGTATCTCTGTAGTCATTTTGCACCTTTTTTAGTTCTTTTGTGTATCTTTGAAGTCATCCTGTATCTCTTTGTAGCAGTTTTGTGTCTCGTTATCATTTTGCTTCCCTTTGTAGCTGTTTTGAATCTTTGTGGCCATTTTGCATCCCTCTGTAGTAGTTTTGTGTCTCTTTCTGGTTAATATAAGTCAATTTGTGGTTGATTGGTGTCTCTCTGAAGAATTGCTGACAGGGCCTTCAAACTGACTCTAGGCCAGGGCCCCCTAAACCCTTGGGCCCCTAGGCCTGTGCCCAGTTGGCCTGTTTAGTTTTATCCACCCATGGCTCCAGGAACGTTGCAGACCCTGTGCTTTGACTCTGAGAGAAAAAAAACGGAATCTTCCTATGTGGGTCATTAAAAATCATTTCCAGAGCTTTGATGAAAGTGTGACAGTGTTCAGCAAAGAGCTCAGTGCCTCTGTGTGGTTGTCATACATACAGTACTCTGTGTACACCCTGTACAGATGTCGTTGCTGTGAAACAGCATAGTCTGCTGTTCAGTCCCGACTACAGCTGACAATGCAGCCCAATAAAACTGTTTTCCATTCAACTCTGGAGATTAATCTGCTTGTCCATGCTGTCTTCTCTCAGTGCGTCTCTCTTCCATCAAAGCACACACACATGCACACACACACACACACACATCAGTGGTGAGGAGGCATTTTGTGACACAAAGCAGAAGGTATAATTATTTGGGGAACCACTGACAGAGAGGCCAGATAGTGGCTGTCAAAGTGATGCTCGGTGCACTATGGCCTAGAAGAGACGCATGAGGGCGGTGGTTTGGTCCAGACTTGCTAATTAAAGAAGCAAAAATATCAGTCATCAAATGTAGTTTCTTTTTTTTTATCTGATTTCCAGGTGTGAATTTGTGCTCTCTTTACAGCCCACACAGCAGACATGGCATTTTATTTGGATTGCACCACCCTGTGGCTGCCTCCTTGTTAAGAAGAGACATTCACATCTGTGTTTAGCACGCTAATAAAATGCCAGATGTGAAACACAGACAACAGCCATGACTGATCTCCATGACTGACTTCACATTTGTCAGAAGCTCAAGTTTGTGATCATGCTTTACTTAGTATGAATACAATAATGACAGTGCTGCTGGAGTGTGACGCACTGCAGGCAGTTTCAGTTTGTCAAGTCCGTCCTAAAGCTATGATCAGCTGAAAGAATCACCTGTTCATAGCGGCTGTTTAAAGAATGAGCTCAGTGTTTATCTGAAGTCAGAGACTTTTTAAATTCCCTCTTTCTGTTACAATCTCTACACCACAGCTCAGTGTGGAAAACAAAGAGGGAGTTTTATTCTAAAGAAGCTGTCATTTTGGAAGGGATCTGCTTGATCTGATGAACATTACATGACATGGAAGCTGTAGGAGGATCCCTCCTCTGTTGCTCTTCTTCAGGGCTCTTTTGTTTTCTTCCTCATTAAAGGCTTTTTGGGAGTTTGTTGTTTTCCGATCAGAGGGTTTAGGGGCAGATGCTAAAGCCCTTTGAGGCAAATTTGTGATTTGTGACATTGGGCTATATAAATAAATTTGACTTGACTTGATAGCATAAAACGTTTGAACCCAAGAGACCAAGAAGAAGAAGCTGAGCATACAGGGAAAACATTAGCACAATAAGTATTCATAAATAAATGGACAAATTATAAACACCTCCAGAGCAGCTTTGATTTACAATAAATACGTTTGTGTTAGGGAGGTGAAATGGTTCAAATAAAAGGGTTTGTGACTTTAGCCTATAATTAGAATTAGATTAACCAAATCAACAGTTAGACATAAGGTTGTCTAACAAAATCTGATTTATGGAAAAGTCAAAAATGTGGATACAACAAATCCTTTTACAGAACAGGTAAGGCTGTTGTTTCCAAACTTTGGGGGCAATAGGTCAAGATAAATAACAAGTACAGTTGCTTTTCAGATATGATCAAGCAAATGCATAATTGTGAGCCACTTAGCTTCTAAAAATGCTTTTCCTGATTCTCCCACAATGAGTGTTATCACCTCTTCTGTGGAACCAGCTGCAGCTCCTTGCTGCTGTTCTTACGACGCCACAGAGTTTTTAGTTATTTACCCAGAGAAAACACTGGTCCCAGAAAAAAACTGCCCTACTTTAAATATATCAGGAAACAGACTTTTGTGCAAGACGTTTAAAGTTGGACTATTTATGAGTCTGTCTGTGAAATTTGCATGAGTGGAGTCATGCCAGGCTGCTGCTGCCCTCTGCTGACAGGCCATACCTCGCACACCTGGAGCTGGGTTTAAATTAAACTCAGAAGCACAAGCTGAAGATGAACCTGAGAGGAGAGGAGTGCAGTCTGTGCTGCAGGTACTTTGTCCACACTCATGACACTGAGCGCTCTGCTTTGTTCTCCATGTCTCAGTTGTTCTCTGATCTTTGTGCATGTACGTTTTATTCCCTCAACTGTCTCTCAGACTCAGACCTGTTCCTGTTGTCAGCCTCCACAGATACACCTTGTCACGTGCTGAAGATGCACAGCTAAAGCAGCTCCAGAAACAGGACAAACAACCAAGAACAAGTAGGACTTGTCTACAGAATTGTTCTGTCCTGGTGACTCAGTATATGGAATCACTTCCATTTTCCCCTAACATGGGACGGTACTGTCTTACTCCATACATTTTATCAAATGGGGATTCGGACTAACTCACTCATGGGGCTCTTGTCTTCGTGTCAACCTGTCACATCCCTGAGTCCACCTTCTATTAGTCCAGATAAGCTGTGAAGTCCAGAAGCAAAAGAACCAGACAGATAATATTTCTGTGGAACCAGGTGGTATCCAAACAAATGTTTTGGTTATTAATCAGCTGAGCCAACAGCTACAAACTGTGTGATTCTGCACCTGAAGCCGTTTTATTGTAACAACCACCCACAAGAGGGCAACACAAACTAAAGAAAGTCAAGCCTGGCCGTGCCCTGGGGGAGACTGTACTGAACAATAACAAGTGCAAAGCCTGTGAGACTGTGGAGGTGCATGTACTGTTGTGTAGACACGATCAAATCGATCAGTTTGAAGCTTCCTTCACCACCTGTATCAGACAGCAGAGGGTGTGTTTCCTGAACTAGTGCCTGGCACTGAGCGCGCTTTCACCAGTCTTTATTCTAAAGCTACTTGGAGCCAGAGTTTCTGATGGATTTATTTGTCAGAGATCAAAGTGCTTTATTTGCAGGTTAATCTTGACAGTATCATACCATCAGATAAAAGCTTTGCAGCAGTTGATCGCAGCCCTTTCATACATGTAGCCAACAGCCCCGTGATAGGAGAGGACCTCGGTGCGAAGTCCGTGTCCTAAACTAAATATGCACATAAATGGGGCAAAACGTGCTCTGCAGCTCCGCGACACCCCCTATCCTCCCTGTCCACAAACAGTGCGCTGCTCTACTATCGGTGGGCGGAGCCCGGAGGGAGTTGCCTGCAGCCGCTTTTAATACAGATGCGCTCCTCCGGGCGCCTTGCGTCGAGCGGCAGCGAGGGAGACAGAGAGGACGGCACCATGACTGCACCCAGAAACACCTACGATGTTATAGTGGTCGGCGGAGGCATATCAGGTGAGCGCGACCTCAGAAAACATGATTTTTGGTTTGCAGGGTGTTGTGGTGGAGGCAGGCTGTGTACATGGACGGAGTCCCGACCATCGCTCCGCCCGTGGTGCTGATGCGCTTTGTCTAGGTGACAACTGTTGCACAAAACGGCTTGTGTGTTGTCTGGAAGTGGCACAGCCGCTGTCCGGGTCAGATTTTGTTGTCAGCGGAGAACCAGAGAGGCTTATGTTTGGCAGATGCCGGATTCTCTTCTTCAGGATGTGCCATCCCAGTTTCTCTTCCGTGAGGCTGGATCTCCGCAGCAGCGCCTGTTGAGTAACAGCTAATCAGCCAGAGCACACACTTCGTATGGCACATCGATTAGGCTGCTGTTCACCTGTTTCATTTCAAATGCGCGTGTCAGAAAAGCTGTTTGATTTTGTCCGTGAGAGAGGAGGTGTGATGTCAAGGAGAGTCCACCTGCCTGCATGTGAAAACTACACCTGGTCTGATGACAACATTAAACATTCAAGGAGAAAGTCCTTCTTGTGCTTTGCCAGAGTTTCTGCAGCTTCCTGATAAACAGGCCGTGCTGTTATGTAAGAGTGTTTCCTGTGGAAGGGGGAATGGGAAGATTCCAAGCAGAACTGTTTTAGTTTAGCAGTCTGCTTTTCCTTTCCCACGTCTGCAACACAGGCTGTTATTGTGCATTGTCAGACATGGCAACACTGCACAGATCACTGATGATGACTCACTAGTAGTTTACAAATAAAGAAACTAATATGAGCCGGCTAAGACAATCAAATAACAATGAGTAGAATAATAAGAGGATGAGATTGGAGATGTTGATCCCTGCTGCTGACTGCTCCTTGTGTTTCTGCTGTTGAACGTCATCTGAAGCTGCTGGGACAGGCCAGGACTCAGGCTTCTTCTTGTGGCCTGACGGTGACTGAACTCTGTCCTCTCTGTTCCCCCTGCCTGACCGCCAAGACGTGACACTTCATTCGCCTGCCTGCACATCAGACTGTGAGGGATTTAGGTTGGTGTCAGTTCAGATACCAGTCAAACAGGCAAAACAAAGGCTACAGAAGAACAGTAATGTAATAACACCTTCCTCCCACCCTGCCTCTCTTCCCTGGTGTCACATTAGTGTTTTGTAATTACACCTTTTGTTTATACCGCTGCCCTTTACTGGCTCGCAATGAGGTCCACATATAACAATCACTGTCCAATCAGAGGACAGATGAAACCAGAGGGAGAGGAAATGCTCTTTTTGCCTCCTTACTCCTTGTGTCTCTGTCACCCTCTCTCCTGAGATGTGTGTTGCTCCTTTTGCCTGCAAATGCAATAGTCATTTTCCCACCGGCCACCCGCCCACCCACCAGCAGGACTGTGGCCCGAAAGAGCAGCCGGCACTGTCTGAGAAAACATTAACCATCTGTGACAGCCTGTTGTCAGACCAGCAGCAGAGGAGGAGTGGAAAACAGGAATAACAGAGACTAGAAGGAGGGAAGCACCCACTCTGGTTGTCTTAGCAGCTGTGACCAGATGTGATCAGGCAAACTGGGAATCAAACGAGGAACGAAACAGAAACATAAGAGTGAAAGGAGAAGTGAGTGTATTGGTAAGTAGAGGAAATGGGGACCTTGAGGTGGTTGTGAAATTCAGAGAGGACAGAAAAGTTCAAACAGAGGATGCAAAAGTTCAGTCCAGTGCACTTCTCCCCATTCAGCTGTGCAGTGGGCGTTGGACGAAGTGCCCTCGGCCTGGAAACTCAGCTACATTCCTCATCGTCACAGGCCTATGCTCAGAGAAGGCGGCAGTCAAGTTAAATGACTAGAAATGTACATGGTGCTCCACAGACACTGAGGCTCGGTCCTGTTCAGGGCATTTTCACATTACTGAACGCTGCACCAGCTTTGTGGAGCAGATGTCTGAGTTCAAGGCCCTCGCTTTGCGCGTGTAGATAACGATGTAAAATCATAGTTTGTTGAATATTTCTGGTGTTTATTGGCCTGTAACAGACATTTCCCATAAGCCTTATGTGCACGGGCCTAAATGTCATGGCTCAACAGTGGGGGGAGGGGTCATGGTTAGGACAGACATGTCTGTAGCCACAGCAGGACAGAGGAGTGGAGAAGCTTTTAGACAGCAACAGCCACAATGCTGAACATGTGACTTTAGCTTCGGTGAATTTTCTGGATACGGACAAGCAGTTCTTCTCAGCTTGGTTTTGTGTCTTTGGTAAATCGCTGAAGACAATGTGTGTGTCTGTGCGTCCATGTGTTAGCGCCAGTGAGCCTGATGTGCTCCATTGTTTGTGTACATAGAGGAGTGCTGGTATTTAGGGAGCTGGATAACAGCTGTAATGTGTGTGAGCTGAGCTGTACATTCACAGAAAAGATTAGCAGTCGTTTTCTTGAATCCTGTCTTAACTTCACTCCTCACGTCTTCTTCCTCTTTGAAAGCCACAGCAGCTGCAGGACCCCGAGCCCTCGGCACTGTCCGACATAGTGTCGGACTTCACATCATATCTGAAAGCTGCTAAGACTGCGTGAACCCCGAGCTTCACTTTCTCCGTCCAGCTGTGCAAACATTAGCAGCTGTTGGCTGAGCTGCCAGACACAGGACCGGCTCATGTGTGTTACCATATGTCATTTTCTATGTGCCTCTGTGTTTGCCTTGTGTGTGGCTGTAATCTCAGCTGTGTTAATCTTAGAAATGACAAGACTGACTGTGAAAAGCGCATGCGGTCAATGGGTATTTGCACAAATGGAAAGGTCCTCATCGCCATCTTTGTTGAAGTGTGAGAGCTGAGTCAGGTGCTTCCTTTTCTCCCCAGTGTTTGTCAGGTAAAACGATTTGCCAGGCAGCATGATAGTTGTGTTTAATTAGTTTGATTACGACACTGAAATGATTCATTACAAGCCGCAGCTGATAATGGCTGTCCTGAGACGTAGCATCAAGAGGAACAGTTTGACACTCTGGGAGAAGGATATATTTGCTTCTCTGCAGAGAGTTAGATAACTACAAGCCTGGCGCCATACAAAACCTTCACAAAGCGCCTTCTGAATTCCTGGTTGGAACACGGGGCTGTGGCGACGTTCCTCCAGTGCACTGGGTCCTGGGAGATCCTCTTCAGCTGTGCCCAGGCCACACCAGCTGCTTCCACCTCCGCGCCACTGTCTCGGTCTTTCCCACTCCCTGTCTTGTGATGTTTGAGGGGGACTTCCCAAGTGTGTGTCCTATCCATCCCCACATCCTTTTCTTGATTCCTACTTCAGTCAGAGTTTGTCTTGTCCCAGCCCACAGGTCAGTGTTTGAGATTGTCTCAGGCCATCTGATGGTGAGAAGGTTCCTGGAGCTTGTCAGTGTTGTCATTCGTGTTTCAGAACTCTGTCTCAACACTGGGAGCAGAGAGCCGCTGAAATATTTCAATCTAAGATTACAGGTGGAAGATGAGATCTGTGAAATTAAAGTGCAAACATATGTGGGGAGCTCGACTATGATAGCACGTGTGCTTGTTCCATGACAGCGCTCAGAGATAGAAGTTTCTCTGATTATTATCCCATCTGCTATTCCTGCCTGAATTTCAATTTCATGTAAGTGCATGTCAATAACGCTGCTCAGCGTGCTGCCCCAAAAACAGCCAATCAGTGTCTCCCTGCTGAGAACATGAGGTGGTCTAGTAAATGTCTCTGTCTGTGGATCAATACGGACCCATTTAGGGCCCCGATTCAAATGGCTCACTTGTCACTGAGCTGCTATTGGATTTGTTGTTTGTGTTCTTGTGAAATGAACACTTTGAGATGCACACACACACACACGAGTAGTTTTTCAAAAGAAATAAAATGTGTTTGGCAGCTGGGCATCGCGCAGGATCCTTTGAGAAGACGGAGCAGCTACTGTCAAATGCACATTGATAAATTTAGATTTCTAAAACTTCTAACATGGGGAGCATAATCTAGCTAGTGAGTCTGGTCCCACAGAGAAGCTACTGGAGCACAAACCGCTGAAAAGCTTAACGCTGGCTCTGATAGACAGATGTCTGAACACACAGTGCACGCATTTTACATTCTGTAAATACATTTAACAGATTTTATTATAAATATTTAGAAGCGCAGGATGTTTTTCAAAGAAACAATGTTCTCGTGAACACTTTGAATTCCCCTCACATCAAAAACACACATTTGTAATTCTGCTTTGTATTTGCTGAGACTATTTTCTCTCCATATACCATATGTGCGTTGTGTTTGAGTGCCTGGGAGGTTTGTGGAGCTATATGTATTCATGTTAAATGATATAATCAGAGATTCAGAGACAGTGGGAGACTGGGGGGGATTTCACCCACATACACATTTGTAAACCCATCGTTGTGAGGATGTTCCTTACATGCCTAACCACAACCCTAACACCTAATCTAAACCTTATTCTGACCTTTAGCCTAAAACCAAGTCTTGATCATCAAACAACCCTTTAAAGGTGTCTTGAGAAATTGAGGACCAGCCAAAATATCCTCACTCCCATGGTTTAAAATTCAGACCAGCCCTCACACTGCTGGCCATACAAGTACACACACACACACACACACTCCTTTTCATCCTCTGTGCTCTGTGTTGGAAAAAGAGACAAAGACTGTTTCCTTGACAACAGTTAATTGTTAAAATGGAGTCACTTGGCAGAAACAAAGTGCCTTTGTATACAATGTGTGTGTATCTAGAAACCAGGGAGCAGAGAACTGCATGTAACTAATCTAGTACTTTAGCTGCACTTCGCAGTAGCTTGCTGGTAGTTCAGTGCACAGATCTGCACAAAAAGCTCCAGAAACTCGCTCATGGCTGCCGAGTACCTTCAGGGCAAACAAGGTTTTTTGAAGTTTACATTCAAGACTAAGGCCCAAAAAAACCAAAATACACACAGTCAGTTTTATTTACTTTCAAGCATTTGAGAGAGACCAGATAATTAGGTCGACCAGAGCCTCAAGGTGAAGACGAGCAGAGCAGTGGTGGGGAATCAGAAGAGAGGATGAAACAACACTGGAGACTAGGTGACAAGAGTTGTATTTACAGGAGAAAAATTAGAGGAACTAACGAGCCTGCGGTACATTAAACCTCCAAACAGGTTTATACTGTGTTCACGTATGTGCGCTGATTCTTTGTGTCTGAGCTTCAGACGCTGCACATCATGCAGCAGCTTCATGTACTGTACAGGAAGGAGCCTGTGACTCAACTCCATCTGAGAAAACAACATAATGATACACACATTACTGTTACCTCGTAGAAAGGTTTGTAAAGACAGCCTTCCTGATTAAAACAGTATCTCAACGGGAGGCTACTGTTTGCAGTGATTGCTGTGGGCACAAACAAGAGATGCAGACAGAGGCTCTTTATTTTCAGAGACTGACCTTTTGAGATGAGCACAGGCAATAGCATCAATTTAACAGAGGAAGATTTGTGATCCTCTTCTGGTCGGAGCTAATGCTTCCCCAAAGACTGACAGGCTGGGTGTGTTTGTACCAGGAGGGAAGGCTGAGGTTGAGTAATACAGGACAAACTGTTTCAGCTAATATAAACATGGCCATCCTCAGCAGTGCTTAGCAGGATTTGGAAGGAGAGAGCAAGGAGGTGAAGATGGGGAGGTGGGGAGGGTAGGGGCCAGGATGGGGCGCCTGCTGGCGCGGAGCTGCTTGGTTTTGTGTTACAAGCTACGGCCTGATTTTGTGTTGCATTTACTATATGTTACACCTTACTGAGTTCAAGTTATGCCAGGGATCAGTCTGTGTATGAGAAATTGGTGCTGTTGGTTGGTCATTCACCAGTCAGTATAGTGTGTGTGTGTGTGTGAGAGAGAGAAAGTGGTGCTAAAGTGCTGGCTCTGCCCTCTGGGCTCCCTCACATGATAGCGGCTCAGCCATGTTTCTCTCCTAGATTCCATCCTTCCCAGCTCTCCCATCTTTCCCACAGCTCTCTCAACTCATCTGAAAGGCTAGTTAATCCTTCTCTCGCCTGTTTTTCACATAAGACCTGTGTACAAGAAAAAGCTATAGAGTATAAAAGCATCAAGGAACATTTCAAACAGACAGAAAGCTGACTGGAACAGAATATTTGAAAAGGCGACTCGTGCCTTTGTTGCATCTTGGCTTGGTTACTGCAAGGCCTTTATATTTTGGCTTAAGTCAGTCCCTACTTCACGGCTGTGGTTAGTTCAAAACACTGCAGCCAGGGTTTTGAAGGGAGTTTCTTCACTGGCTTCCTATCAAAATATCGAAATGAATTTAAGCTTTTATTGTGCATTTTTAAAATCATTAAATTGACTAGCCCCATCATATTTGTCAGAGCATTCGTGTGTTTCTAGATGTTCCTAGATCGAGATTTAAAATGAAAGGGGACTGTGGCTTTGAAACAGCTGCTCCCTAATTATGGAATGGTCTACCCCTCTGTATTAGATCTGCAGCAACACTTCAAACCAAGAAGCTTGTATGTGTTTTTATCTTGCCCTACTGTTATATGTGCGCTATATGTTGTTATCTTTTGCTAGAGTCATTCTCTGAGCAGCACTTTGGACAACTAATGTTGTTTTTTTTAATGTGCTTATAAATACATTTGACTGGGTTTGCTTCTATTCAAAAATCTAATTTTGATCTACATCATCAGCTCAGTTTGAAAGTAAGCTAATCAAGAGGTCCTCATAAAGACACAATGAAAGGTGTGGCACCATCATAAGGGTCAACAGACCATCTAATACCTAACCCTGTGTCCCGTCGCTGTGCAAACACTACAGAGGGAATTAAAACTAAAGAATGGAGAAGCGCCTCAGCTGCAGCCTCACACATATTTCACATTTCCATTACACATTATACACCAGCACTTGATAATCATGCACAAGCAGTAATCAAGTGTAATGTTGCCTATGTACAGGCAGAAAGCGAATCATGTCCTTACTCACCTCTCAGTGTTTCTGTCTGCCTGCAGGCTTGTGTGCAGCAAAGCTGCTCAAGGCCAGTGGACTGAGCCCTGTAGTGCTGGAGGCCAGGGATCGGGTCGGTGGTCGCACCTTCACTGTGCAGGTAAGACCAGAGGAGCCGTGAGGACAACACCTGCTTGTAGGTCATAAACAGGATTCATCCATGTGTGTTTGTTAGTGTGTAGAAGGCTGTTGGCTAACACCCGCTAAACAGCTGTTGTTCAAACTGAGCTGCTAGATTCTGGAAATGACAAGTGTAAAAAACAGACTCCGCCAACAGCATGAAACACAAGAACAGATCTTAAAACCCTTCAACTTTATCTGTAATGTAAATTTTCTCTGTTTTTATGTTTCAACATGTGTTCTGTCTTTTTCAGAACAAGGAGACAAAGTGGGTTGATCTGGGCGGGGCTTACATTGGACCAACCCAGAACCGCATCTTCCGACTGGCCAGAGAGTACGGTGTGGAGACCTACAAAGTCAACGAGCGGGAGAACCTGGTGCATTATGTCAGCGTGAGTGTCCCAGTATCTGTTTAGGATAGCAAATAATACTCTGCTGTGCGGTAACCCAGAGCTTCCCATGCCCATAGTCTGGTTGAACAGTAAGACACAAGCCTGCAGAAATGTGATGTCTTTGCCCCTTTACCTGTGGTCAGCATGCGTTTACCTCTAAACCAGCGAGTGCATGTTCACACTCCCTGTTGCACTGCAACACTGATACTTGAAATGCGATGGCGTTGACATTAAAGTGAGCACAGGTGACAGCTGTGACTGACTTAGTTTGAGCTAGGTGTTCCTAATAAACTGGCAGTGTTTATGTCACTTCATATTTAGGATGAACAGCTCCAAAAACCCATTGCAGCTACACTACTCAGACTTGTTCTTACTTAAGAAGGGAATCTGTCTGTAAAACCAGTCTCTTATGCTCAAAGCTGGTACTTTAACTGGCGACAGCTGAGTTTAATTGCACTAAATGTACATGAGCTATACAGTTTGGTATCTGCCCCAACAAACACAAACCTCCTCCTCAGACTCTCTGTCCTGTGGTGCTCAGACAAGGCCAAGGTAACGGTGCACATAATGTAGTGTGACTTCCTACATGTCTGCTGAGCAGCAGCATTAGTGACTGGAGATGCTGATCTCTGCCTGAAGGCTTACTGTAATGCAGTTTCTCCTCTCTCTGAGTGGCTAAAGCAAACAGAGGAGGACAGAAGTAAGATTCACGGATTCACCATCTTTCTTTGTTCTTGTTATTCTTTGCTCCATATCTCATTAGTGTGGGTGCACCACTGTCTTTAACACAGTTGTGTTCCTCTGCTTGATTTGATTTGCCATTGCTGCCTTGTACCCTGGTCAAACTAGCCCTACTGTAAATCACTGGCCTGCCATGTGTGTGTGTGTGTGTGTGTGTAGAGGTGGACAGAGACAGCTTATCTCGACATGAGCTGTATTCTAGTCATCCAGTCATAACTTCAGAGATGGACTTTGAGCTTCTGGCTTAGACACACCTTCCCTGCATTATATGGAAAGCTGTCTGTAACGTGCAGCGCTCATGTTTGCTTTACACATGAGGAACTTCAATACAAGTACAAGCAAAATACTGCTGAAGCAAAGACACTCCATCAGTATCAACAAACGACCAAATAAGCTGAACGTGAAATAAGATTTTATGTTTAGAATGGAGGCCACTCAGTGGTTGTACGGGTTGACTGATGTCAAAGCAGTTAATGACTACACATTTGCTATGTGTCCTTCGCTGCCCTCATATCTACCAAGGCAAGAATGTCTTTATTGTCATTGCACAAGTACAAGATTCGGTTTGCAGCTCCATACTTCATACTATCAAGAGCAATAAATAAGATAAATAGCAATAAAATAAAGCACAGACTAAATAGAGCCGCAGCTTATTTCTTATCATGTAGGTAACTAAGGCCCACGATACACCTAGCTGATGGTTGGCCGTCAGTGAGCATCTATTGCCCTCGTCTTCTCAGTGTGTCCTGCACTGTTGGCACTCGTCGGATCCTGTTCGTGGCTTTTCAGTCGATTCAGCATGTTGAATCGGCGGCTGACCCCATCGGTGAGAGAGACCGCTCTGATTGGCTGTCTATCTTTGCAAATCAATTCACAAAAACAGAAAGGTTTGGGAAAGTCCCTTGAGCCTGTCACAGTAGTACCACCAAGGGCTGACCATAGCAGGGCCATTTGCAACATCTTATCAGGCATGTTCTTGATTAGAAGCAGCTACAAACTATCAGTGGTGAGCAAGAGCTTGTACTGTACTTGATGTGTCTCTGCTCTACTGCCAAAAGCTCTAACTGAGTTGTTTACTTTCATGATGAGGAATGGCCTGCAGCTGTTTATCTAATAGCTCGGTCTGGTTTCTACTTGTTCTACTGACTCTTGATAATGTTAATCATGATCTTTCTTTATAACATAAGCCCTGCTTCTGTCTCTCTGGAGGTCAATTTGAACAGAGACACTCCAGCTCTATATCTTGGGTGTTGACTCTCTCTCAAGGGGATCAAACCTATGACATTAAAGCTATCTTCCTCTTAGCTCCTTGTGCCATCTCCCCAGCAGTGCTTCCCTTGTTTCTGAGAGATGTGGAGTTTTTCTCTGGGTGTAGAACATCAGAGTGTAACAAGTTGCCTGAGGATCAAACCCACAACCTTAGAAGTTTTTACTCGTTACTTTCCACTTGCCCACCATGTCCTGCAAATGTGCTCCCAACTTTCCCTGCAGACAGCACTCAAAAAGTCAAAATCTCAAAGAAAAAATAGTAGCTGGGCACGTTATGACGCTTTTGTTCTGTCGAGCCAAGTGAGAGACTCCATGCAGTGAAATTACAAATCAAAAGTGAAAGCCAAATATAAAGACATTTCAGCCAGTCACGTGTCTTGAAGGAACGTGACTGAGTCCGAGTCAGCATTATATCCCCTGCTGTTAGAAACGGGGGCCAACCCGTACCCGCCTGGCTCCGCATGATAAAGGCACGCTGAACCACGCTGATAGAAAAATGCCATTACAGGACTGGTTGGTATTTCTGAGGCTGGATTTTTATGAGGCCTAGAGAAGTTTGGAGCCTAACATCCAAAGTCAAGCCTCAAAATGATCCAAAAAAATAGAGGTCAGAAGTGTCTGAGCAAAAGGCTCAGGGTGTTTGTGGACTGCTGGGAGGTTTTGCAGTGGTGAGTTCAGCCATTGGTGAAAGCTTAAGCCCAGAAAGACAAAAGATGTAAGGACTCTAGTATATGGAGCTCAATGGTGCCTGACCAAATAAGACAGTGTGTTAGAGTACTGCTGGGAAGTTCTGTAAACACTGGATGACTAGTGCAGAACCTAAATAGCATCAAAACTGGTTTTGAAATAATGAAAAAATCTTAAATGTGTTGGAGCTTAAACAACAACTAGGTCAAAGGCCATGTGCTTCCATAACATCTGTCATCTGTCAGGTCATTCTCAGGACAAGCTTAACTTGACAGTCATGATTCAGTAGAAAACAGAATATGAAATGAGTCTTGATCAACCTCATCCAGATCACACAGGGGACACGTTGTCCTCCTCTGACTGACACTTCAGCTGTGCATTCTGATGTGCTCTCAGTTTTGGTTTTGCAAGATATTTCTTCTGTCCATTCAAACAAAGCATATTACTAATCTACACTGAAGCATGCTTCCATAACCTTCGACGTGCTGGTCACCACTGTGTGTGCTGTTGACCTACATAGCCGACACAGGTGGCAGATCGAGAATACATCTGTGGTTTAATAAAGACGGTGTGGTATTGGTCCAGGTGTTGTGAAGCGAGTTCTGGATCCATTTTTTCTCGTGTACAGGCGCTGCTGTGTGAGTGTGTCTCCTGAGCTACTATCTCTGTCCAATCCTCTCAAAGACCCTGACTCTCACACACACACCGCTCGTAGCTTCCTGGCTAGTTTCCATGGCAGCGTGCCTCATCAAACGCTGCTCACCCCTATCGTAGTCAGACGGTGTATTTGTCTGTCTGTGTGTGTGCTTGTGTATTCGTGCATTTGTGCGTGCAGGCTGTGGGGAGCTCAATTTCTGGGGTTACCGCTCCCACAGCTGACTCTGCAAGAATGTTGTGGACAATCTGAGCCCCCACCACAGCAGACAGAGACAAGTAGTTTCCAGTTAGAGAATCAGGTTAGTGATAGTCTATATTTTTCTTCTTGTCAGCGAAAGCAAGATCAACAAAAACTGATCCTAAAAAGATGCACTGCCTTTATACTTAAAGCCCAATGTAGTCTATTCTGCTTCTGACATCCATTGTTGTTCATAAAGCGCATCTTTGCACGTTCATTAAGGTGGATGCAGTTTAAAGTCAGCATTCACTATCCTGCTTCTATAAATATCCAACAGAGCTACAAATATGCATTAATCCACACCTGAAAATATTCTCCAACAAATGCACTATTTAAGGACTAGTATAGTCCAAAAGGGGAAAATGCTCCTTACAATTTCTGAGGTGACATCTTTAGAATGTTCACCTGGCAGGAGCATCACCGCACCAAATCTTCCCCTCATCAGCAGGACAAAATGAATCAAATCCCTTCCTGTTGCTGTTGTATCACTACTTTTAGCAGACATCTTGGAAGTTTCCTGACTATTGCACACATCTGATCTTCATAACAGAGGGAAGCAATGCACAGATCTGAATCACGGTCTGCATTACTTCACGGTAGTATTAATAAAGCTAATAGTAAACCAACACGCTTGCCTGGTTGTCTAATTAGTGCTAACTTTCATGCAAGCCGCGTAGCTAATCAGCTTGTCTGTAGCAGGTCGTAATCCAAAAGGCCAGAGCAGGTTTCCCTTATCAGCACCCTGGTGGCTAACGGCAGCTGCAGCTCCCAGCACTGGCTTTATAAAGGAGGAAAAAGACTTTCCCTGTTTATCAGAGATTGAGAAAGAGCATGAAATTGTCCCATGGCTCCTCCAGCAGTGTGGATGATGTGCATTTTTGCATTGCACGTTCACATGACCAGTGAGAGGAATGGCTGATGATTTTGCAAGAGCATTTGGGCTGTTAGAAAAATGAAAGGATTAATAGCAGTGTGTCAGTGGAGGCTGAGCCATTTGAAGCCAGTGAACTTCAGAACGCTTTTCCACAGTTCCTGTCAGATGATTGGTGAAGGTGGAGAAACACAGCTCAGATTTTCATGTCCAGTCAGAAACAAAGAACCACTCAGCTTTTTTTCATGAGGTGACTCCATGTGCTTCCTTTAGACGGACACAGAGTCCACGTTGCCTTGTTCCTCCTCTGCAGTACACCTGTGTCTGCATGTAGTGTTTGGTTGGTCCTGACCTGCTGTTCAGGGATGTGGAAACAGATGCGCCCTCTCCTCCTCCTCCTGTATCTGCTTGGCTGGCGTCACCATGGTGACAGACCTGTTGCTCCACGGCAGCAGACACTGTGCTGTACATCGTGAGACATTTCATCTTCAGCCTCTGTCAGAGTTCAGCTCTTCTCCACGACACCATGTGTGATTCACCAGATGTCTGCAGCTGTCCTGT